CCAGCCTATATGGCAGACAGTCGAGTCATCTAACCAAGCAACTTTTTATTCCCTCCATTGAACGCCATATATCCCATAAGAGCCTTGGAAAACAGGACCTCTCTCATGCGATAATCATGTCACACATCGATATCGTACGGGCAAAAACCTCCACACATTACTTACTCTTTCTCTCCTCGAGATGATCAAAGCAAATACACAGAATGCATACGAGCGACGTAGAAGCCTACAAGACGCTTAGTCGAAAGACTTCTTCTGGCCCTGGAAGTCGCCAAAGCCACCGCGGTTGAATGAACCACCACGGCCGCCTCCGCGAGCGCCGCCACGACCTCCACGACCGCCAAAGCCGCCGCCACCACGGCCACCTCCACGACCACCACGGTCGCCGAAGCCTCCGCGGCCGCCACGACCGCCGCCGCGACCTCCTCCAAAGCCTCCGCGACCACCACCGCCACCGTTGTCATCACGGGGAGCGGCGAAGTCGACGCGGAGGGGACGGCCTGCAACGTCCTGGCCCTGAAGAGCCTCAAGGGCAGCGGTAGCCTCCTCCTGGCTGCCATAGTCAACGTATCCGAAGCCCTTGAGCGCACCGCTGTCGCGGTCGGTGGGTAGAGAGACACGAGTGACGTTGCCGTACTCGGCGAAGACCTCCTGGATGGTCTCGTTGGTGCAGTCGAATGAAAGGTTGCCAATGAAGAGAGTGTTGCTGGGAGCGCTGCGCTTGTCACCAAACTTGTTGGCACGGGCATTGGCGTCAGGCTTTTGGCGGGGAGTGCTGAAGTCGACGTTCAGTGGGCGACCGTCGAGCTCGTACTCGTGCATGTCCTTCTGTGCCTTGGCGGCATCAGCAGCTTTGGCAAACTCAACGTAGCCGAATCTAAGTAGGTCAGTATTTGGTCGCACAGAAAGACATGTATTTGTTGGAGAACATACCCCTTGGCACGGCCAGTCTCGCGGTCAGTGATGACACGGCAGCCAACAATCTCACCGAAGCTCTCGAACTCGCGGCGGAGCCAGTCCTCGTCGATGTTCCAGCTCAGGTTGCCAACAAACAGGTTCTTGACACCGTCCTCAGCAACGGGCTCATCAGTCTTTGTCTTCTTGATGACAGGCTCGGCTACCTCCTCAGCCTTGCGCTTCTTGGAGGGAGCCTCGGCCTCGTCGCTTTCAGATTCAGAAGAATCAGAGTCGGAGTCGGCGTCGGAGTCGTCAGAGTCGGAGGTAGAGGCAGCCTGCATTAGTTAGTAAAGGACGATCAAACCATGGAAAAAAAGATGTAAAAACTAACCTTAGCCTTGGCAGCAGGCTTCTCGTCCTTGGACTCGCTGCTGTCCGAGTCGGACTCAGACTCAGAGTCGCTCTCAGAGTCGCTGGACTCAGCCTTGGCCTTAGCAGCGCCGTTGGTCTTGACACCGTTGGCCTTGGCCTTGGGGGCAGGCTTCTCCTCCTCACTGCTCTCGCTCTCGCTGTCGCTATCCTCCTCGCTGCTGTCGGAAGAGTCAGAATCGGAGTCGGCCTTAGCAGCGGCCTTGGGAGCAGCTTTGGTTTTGGCGGCGGTCTTCTTGGTGACCTCCTCCTCCTCGCTGCTGCTCTCCTCGGATTCCTCGCTCTCGCTCTCGCTCTCGGACGAAGAATCAGACTCAGGCTCGGGGGTAGGAGCCTTCTTCGACTTCTTCTTGTCCTTGGCGTTGGAAGCAACTGACTTGGCAATGTCCTTGCTCTTCGACTTGGGAGTCGCAGCAGGCTTGGTGACGCGGCCGGCCTTAATGCTCGAAAGCTCAGCCTTCTTGTCCTTCTTGGACGACTTGTCCGCAACTTTGGTCTTGCCCATTTTGATGATAATGTACTAGATCTACAACGTATCAGTATTGTGAAATGTGCGACGTAAAAATCAATGACATTGCGGTGAAAATAAGAAAAGAGAGGAGCGGACTGTAATAGCGTCGTCGCTCAGGCGCTGATGCCCAAAGGTCATCGTATGCGCTAGCATGCATGATCTGATTGTCTCAAATTGCGAAAAGCCCACTGGTATCTCTTGAGACCGCACGAAGCGGATATCCCTCAAGCCCACGGAAAGCCCACAAGAGCCCACAGAAAACCGAGCCTCAAGGCGGCGTGTTCCCACAATGGCCGAGAAGCCGGAAGATTAACCCTCATAGTAGCGCAAAGCCCTCTGGTTGATCTTGCCGTGCTCTGACGAGCGACAGACGTGCCCTCTAGAATGTGTGTCAAGGAAATGCCAAACGTTGCCCACTGACTTGTGATATGATCTGGTACTGGATGTTGCCCTCAGTAGCCCACTTGAAGTTCGAGAAAGCCCTCAAATGATGCTCGAACTGGTGATGTTCGAGGTTAAAAAGTAAGGTGAAAGATTGGTGATAGACGGTGAGTGAATGAGTGGGAGAGGCTGGCATTTAATACCTGGAGGCGCAGAAAAGATCAGCGCCGAACTTTTCAGCGGAGACGGTGGCCCGTGCTCTGCGCCGCGACGCGTTGTGTGGCTACACTCGACGGAACCGCCCCACTGCGAACTTGGCCGGCCACGGTCAAGGCAGTATTTTGCAGCAACGCAGCGGCTCAGGGTCCAGCAAGGGACGCTGTTTTTGCCGTGGATACGTGGACGTAGATTTTCAAGAGTGGAGCTGTATATATTGCGAGCAAGGCTCTTGAGATGCACTCATATGAGTATGAGCATGCTCTAAAAGCAAAACCGCCAGTTTTGGCCATGCGCAGAGCACTTTTACTTACACAGATGTTGCCCATAGAAACTTGATAGACTGTAACCCAATTGGCAATTCCAATCTACATACATTTCAATAGACCAGACGGTCCTGCCTGTGCTCTTGCATGCCTACCTCGACGTTGGAAACTATGGCCTGCACAGTTTGCAAGAGCTTACGCGGGTTTACGCTAGCACCACTACGGTAAGGCGTAGTCATTCTTCCACGAGTCCGAACCATGAAGCCGTGCAACTCCTGTTCAAGCAGTGTCATCATGGCTTCACCGGCAGTCCATAAACCGCGGCGGCGGAGAAAGATCGAAGAAGGATCCCTTGCTCAGGTCGCACACGGTACCCTCGACCACGATCAATCCACAAACTCAACGAAACCAGCCTTTCCCCTCGTCGCGTTCCTGTGGCCTGCAAAAGGCACCGTGTCGCAATGGATCACCATACCCCTCATACTCATGGCTGTCGGCTTGCTCCGCTGGGCCGTCGGTCTCTGGGGATATTCGGGCTATCAATCGCCGCCAATGCATGGAGACTTTGAAGCACAGCGCCACTGGATGGAAATCACACAGCATATCCCAGTCTCACTGTGGTACTTTTATGACTTGCAGTGGTGGGGACTAGACTATCCGCCTCTGACTGCGTACCACAGTTGGCTTCTGGGGGTCATGTATGTTTGGTTGATTAGACATGCAACGCTCATACTGACTGTCACAGCGGCTCCGCCATCAACCCCAAGTGGTTCGAATTCCACGAGTCGCGCGGTCTCGATGATCCGTCCCTTAAAATATACATGCGAGCTACCGTCCTTGTATCCGAGTATCTCATCTACTTCCCCGCCCTCGTCATCTTCCTCCGCCGATTCTCACGCCTCGAAGGTGTCAATATCTGGGAATCGTCAATTGCATTGGTAGCCATATTGATGCAGCCAGGAGCCATCTTGATTGACCATGGACACTTCCAATACAACACCGTTATGCTCGGCTTCGCTGTCGCCACACTGTCAAGCGTGGTCGCTGGGAGGCCACTGTGGGGTTGTGTCTTCTTTGTCGGTGCTCTGGGCTTCAAGCAGATGGCGCTATTCTATGCGCCTGCCATCTTTGCCTATCTCCTGGGCATTTGCGGTTTCCCGCGAATCAACATTGTACGATTCTTCGCCATTGCACTGACTACTGTCGCCGCCTTTGCTATATTGTATCTGCCATTCCTTGCAGGTGTGGCATACGATGTTTACATTGGCTTCCACCATGGACTTCAAACGGTGCCCCCGCTACTAAATGTGGAATGGTTCATGACACCATGGGACAGAGAGGCTTGGTACTACCCTTATGTTCTCGAGTTGGGACAGTCTATCCATCGCATCTTTCCCTTTTCCCGAGGGCTATTCGAGGACAAAGTCGCCAACATTTGGTGTACCATCCACACCTTTCACAAGCTGCATCGCTATCCGATCCAGTCACTCCAACGGCTGGCACTACTCGCAACTTCGGTTGCCATTCTGCCGCCATGTTTGATCATCTTCCTCAAGCCGAAGAAACAAATTCTTCCGCTCGCCTTCGCAGCGGTTTCATGGGGCTTCTTCCTCTGCTCATACCAGGTGCATGAGAAGAATGTTTTGTTGCCATTGTTGCCCATGACTCTACTTCTTGGCGGACATGAAGGTCTACTACCAAGTACCCGCGCATGGGTAGGACTCGCAAACATGCTCGGCGTGTGGACCATGTTCCCGCTGTTGAAGAGAGACGAACTGCGGGTCCCGTATTTTGTCGTTTCGCTTCTATGGGCATATCTTCTAGGCCTTCCCCCCGTTTCATTCTCTGCCTATTATGAAGGCAGCCGAGGCGGACTTGATGTTTTCAGCAAAGTTTTGCACATCAACATATACATTGCTATGGTCGGATGGCATGTCGTAGAGGCATTCTTCCCTCCGCCAGCAGACAAACCGGATCTCTGGGTCGTCGCAAACGCAATCGTCGGAACGGGCGGGTTCGGCCTTTGCTACCTGTGGTGCCTATGGCGGCTTGTGGTTAAGAGTGAATTGGTCGGAAAGGCCAAAAGCAAAACAAACTAGGAGCAAAGGGAATGATTGTGGGAGGATTTCAGTATTTCTTTGAGATACCCCGGCTAGACGTTTGGAGCGAAGATTCCAATTCTGTTGATACATGTTGTACAGCAAAGAAACGATGCCGTCTAATATTCAACGCCACCCATATGCTTGTGTTGTCCATGTTTTCCCACTCGTTAACTCAGTCGCCATAAGAGTGCATTGGCGTTATATCTTGAAGCCATAACCGGCCATGCATCGCCTGTAGTCGTCGACGAGGTTGGCGCATTCCTTTTGCGCGTCGTTTGAGGTGGAGAACAGCATGCATTCGTCGCGCTTCGCTTTCTGGTCGGTACAGACGCAGCAGGGCTTCACTTTCGGTTTTTCGGATGTCTTGAGGTCTGAGCCCATATTGGCGGCAGTGGGTGGCGCTATAATTCCTTGCGTCAGCTAATTGGCGTCGCTAATATATTTCCATCCTATCGGAACCATACCTGACGACATGTTTTGTGCGTGTATGTGTGGTGGTGGTGAATGGAAAGATGCTTAGCAATCGGAATTGCGCACCAAAAGTTCCCGCCGGGCATGGTGTCATCAATCGGCTTTGTCTTGGCGCGCATTCCCGCGGCGGCCACTGCACAAGGCAAACCCCCTGCAAGATTTCAACGGGTCTAGGCAAATCAACCCCCACTACGCCCGCCAAAACATTGCGCCCCACGACTCACACGACCTTGTCGCCCGTTGAATATTATTCACTCGCCCCCTGCTAGACTGCATTTTACCACGACTGCAAGGGACATTCAAACACAATTATGGCTGGCGCAAAGGTCTTTTCTATCGAGGGCAAGGGCCTGAAACTCACCACAGCGGCGGACATCGAGCCGCACATTCAGGAGTTGAAGACCAACGACGATGTGGAAGAGGTCAAGTTTCTGGGAAACACTCTGGGTATCGAAGCCAGCGAGGCGCTGGCCAAGGTTCTGGAGACCAAGAAGAATCTGCAGGTATGGAAAACCTCCCTTTGTTGTCGCCAACTGAGGGGCACTGACTGATATGAACAACAGGTCGCAAACCTCGCCGACATCTTCACCTCTCGTCTTCTCTCTGAGATCCCACCTGCGCTATCACACCTCCTCACGTCCCTCCTCACGCTACCAAAGCTCCACACCGTCGATCTCTCCGACAATGCCTTCGGTCTCAACACTGTTGCCCCGCTCGTCGACTTTCTGTCGCAACATACCCCACTTCGCTACCTCTACCTGAACAACAACGGTCTCGGCCCAGCTGCTGGTGTGCTCGTCGCCGATGCGCTGACTGCACTTGCCGCAAAGAAGGAAGCCGCGCGCAAGGAAGGCAAAGATGTACCAGACCTCGAGCTCGTCATCTGCGGTCGCAATCGCCTGGAGAATGGTAGTATGGCCGCATGGGCAAAGGCATACGCAGCAAACAGTGGCGTCAAGACGATCAAGATGACGCAAAACGGTATCAGGCAGGAAGGTATCTCGCACCTCATCACCAACGGCCTCGCACACCTGACCAAGCTCGACACCCTCGACCTCCAAGACAACACCTTCACTGCCATGGGCGCAAAAGCCCTCAGCCAAGCCGTAGTAAACTGGACCGACCTCCGCGAACTTGGCGTAGGCGACTGCCTCCTCAGCAGCCGCGGTGGCATTGCCCTCGCCGCCGCCCTGGAAAAGGGTAAAAACAAAAAAGTAGAAGTCCTGCGCCTCCAATTCAACGAAATCAACGCAAAGGGTCTCGCAGGTCTCGCCTCCGCTTCCCACACCGCTCTCCCGCTCCTCCGCCGCATCGAAATCAACGGCAACAAGTTCGACGAGGAAGACCCCAGTCTCGATAAGCTGCGTGAGGTCCTGGATGCACGCAAGGAGGAGTCTGGTGAGAAGGCTGACGATGAGGAGTACTGGGGTCTGGATGAGTTGGATGAGCTGGAGAGCGATGATGAGGATGAGGAAGAAGAAAGCGACGAGGAGGAGAAGAGAGGAGAGGTGCAGGATCGTGCAGCGAAACAGGTCGCAGATGATAAGAAGGCGGAGGAGAGTAATGTGGCGCAGGACAAGGATGCCAAGGTTGACGACCTTGCTGACTTGATGAGCAAGACGGAGATCAAGTAGTCTTTCTTTTTTTGGCTCCTTGGTCTTTGTGTTTTCTTGTTTGGTCGATTGTGGTGGGCGTGGTGGGAGACCGTTTTGCATTCAGCGGTTCTGGGACTTTTGTCATTAATTCTTTTCTTCCTCGTTTCCCCCCCCCCTTGAGTATCAATGGGTATGTAGCATTTCGATACCATAGACAATGCTCCAGCATCATCACTTGTATGATGCCTTTTGTTATCTTGAGTCTGTCCTCTACCCACCAACTTGATCGCCACAGGCAGTGAATTAAGTTGTGCAATGTGACCAAAAACAGCAGTTCAAGAAAGGAAAGAAAGAAAAATCCGATTTGAAGAAAGTGAAATTCATTAGGAAGCTACTAGGCTGGTTCATCTATACATGCTCGTATCGTCCTTGCTGTTGATCATATCTGGCTTCAACGTCCCCTGCACGTCTCACGAATTAACCTTCCTCCTCAAACATATGTTGGGAACCATTTTCATGACGCTCTTCTGAAAAGCATGGCAGCAAACAAAGCTGCGTTGTTCGAAACGATCTCACTGGGCCTCGTTCTCTGCCTTTCGTACGTCACCCAAGTCACCCTCGACCTTCTTGAGCTCCTTGTTAACAGCAGTATCTTCTTTGCGTGGTCCAGCATCCGTTTCCGAGGGATGAGGCGAGTTGGAGATGTCGCTGAGAGTTCTCTGGCGATGGGAAACAACAGACTGTGCTGTAGCGGCCAGTCCACCCTTCTCAGTATGTCCATGAGCACGCATCTCGCATGAGTGGAGCTTGTTGGCTTCAGCTGGCGTGACGGTACTATCCTGGATTTTTGGTTGGATTGCAAGCTCTGCTTGGCGAAAGTTCTCTTCCTTGTCATGGTGGGATTGCTCTTGGGGAGAGAGGGTGTTCTTACTGTCGTCCTGGATCTTTGGTCGGATTGCGAGCTCTATTTGGCGAAGGTTAGCTTCGGCTTCCGTGATGGTAATATCTTTCTGCATCTTCAGTCGGATTGGGAGCTCTGCCTGATGAAGGCTCTCTTCTGTGCCGTGGTAGGGTTGCTCTTGGGGGGATAGGGTATTCGTACCGTCAGCGCAAGGACACGCATCGCTAGCATTCGACTCGCGCCTTGCAGCAGTTGATTGAGCAGTAGCAGCAATACCTCCCTTTATGGTATCACCATGAGTGCGAGATTCAAGCGATTGTAGATGACCAGCCTCTTCCTTGGTCACAGTACCCTCTTCTATCTTGTCCTTGACGGCGTCCGCTGCTTGCAGAATGTTTTCCTCCTTGTCATGCTGAGATTGCTGTTCAGGTGATGTAAAGCTTCCTTTGTTTGGTTGAGGCTGTTCACTTTCCGAGGGCTGCAAGGCTTTGGGGCCGCCACTTAGTGATAGCTGACGCTCACGTCTCGCAACAACAGACTGAGCGGCAGCAGTGATACCGCCCTTCTCAGTGTGTCCATATGCACGAGACTCGAGTGAATGGAGTCGATCGGCCTCCGCCTTTGTCACTGTGCCTTGCACAATCTTGGGCTCGATCTTGGCGATTTCCTCCTGGAGCTCGCCTTCAACTTCTGGATGGGGAACGTTGGTGTGACCGAGAGCCTTCTGCATTTCTGTGGCAGTGTCAGCGCGGAAAGAAGATGTCGGGGATGTGACAGGCATCTGTACTCACTGCTAACAACACTCTGAGTGGTACGAAGCACCTCTATAGTCACCTCCCCAGGGCTGCTCTCCACCTTGTCATGCAAGTCCTTGACAGCCGTCAGCAGCTCGCAGTGATGAGTCTGAGCATGACTAGATTCCTGATAATGCACACCTTGTTAGCAATAGCCAGATATTCCACGGCAGAGATAATGCGGACCGCCCTCTCGTCACTCGCAGTGAAGTTGTCAAACAGAAGACGAGCATCATCAACCGTGACGCTGCTTGGATCCGTCTTCAGCTTCTCGAGCATAGCCTCCAGTAGGTTCTTGAACTGGCTTGACTGGCTGCTAGCAAGACTGCTCGTATCGGAAAACATCTTCTCGCTGAGATGTTCGCTCATGGTGAGCCAAATGGGGGGATACGAGGAAGTTTTGTAGGTTGATGCTTGGAGTGGAGGATGCCAAGGTGACTGGAAGAGTTGGGGGGAAGATAAGAGGTGTTTCTGGCGTGCAAAGTACGATGTCTTGAGGTTTTTATGTTTGGGGGCTGATGACGTTGTTGGAGGGGAGGTGAAGGAAGGTGCAGGTGCCAAACAGTGGCATTTTGGACGACCCGGGCCAACTGCACTTGCCTTTTGATGCGGCGTTGATTTGTTAGCATGTCACTACGAGAAAACTATGCGCATGAAGCAAGTACAGCGGAGTGCATCGTGTAAGAAATAGGGGTTGAAAAGATTGAAGTTTACTGGAGACCGAAAATTGTCAATTTGGGCCTTAAACTGCTCTCTCCATCGCCAAATTTACTATAGCAATTTCCACAAACAAAACATGTGCTTTTATCAGTCTGTTTGCCGAAAGTCAGCAAAGGCATAAACACTGCTCATGGCGCCACATTCGAGGGCCGGCCCGCAGCCAATCCCAGCCTCTCATCCATCACCTCCAAAAAGTCTCTTTCCCTGCCAAACTCTCCGATACTAGCAAGCTTCTCAAGTGTCTTCTCCGAACTCTCGCACTCGTTGTACCACCTCCTTTCAAAATTGAAGTCGCCATTCAATTCGTCTGGGAGAATTACCCACTCAGGCAGCGCGCACTTTTCCTTCTCACCATCCATGTACCACCAAAACCTCATCTTGCCTTGCTCTTTCCAAGCTTCTCTGTTCCATGACTTTGCCAACGGCGAGTGCGACTCCCAGCCCTTTATCAGACTACGAAAGTAGGTGATGGGGTGAATGTACTCGTTCGTGACACCTAGGTCTCTCAATTTGGTCCACGTGTGCACTTTTGACTTTTCGTCGTATTCTTCACCGCTTTCATGGCCGGGCATGCGTATATGCATACCGTTCAGGTAATACATTGCGGTATACGAGTCAACAAGCGGGCCAGTGCCCCAGCTGAAGTCGAACTTCTCATGCGCATGTGGTGAGGCAGCACGCGGAAGTTTTAGCTCCTTGTCACCAGAGCTCAAGAATGGAATAGATGGCAGCTTCGGGACACTGTTCCACATCTTCTGCAGCGTATTTGGGTGGTAGTAAGTGCAGGCGTAGCGAATACGGAACAGCCAACGCTTGTATTGGTTGAGATGCATTGAGAAGGCGTGTCGGTCTATAGTCAAGTGCGGGGAAATGACTTGAAGCATCCAGCAAAGAGTCGCTGTTGATATGTCTAAACCTAGTTAGCATTCGCATTGGCTGAGTTCATATCGGGGACCGACTCTCTGAGTCTCCCTTCATCTCCCCAAGGGCGTCCTGTGAGCCGCCACCACAATTGATGTGTACACCAGGGAACTAAACAGATTACTGTTAGGTTGTTTGTTGTCTCAGATAGGCTGTGCTGGAGTACATACCCAGACCTGCTTGAGTTCAGGTGTACGTCGGTTTGGATCGTCGACAAGGTCCTTTGGAATATACCAAAGAGTCGGACGGAAAGCCTTGCGTCGTTCGTCTAGCGCAAGGGCTTGAAATGCATGCTCAATATCTAGTGGGCGCTTAGTAGCAATCTCACAGCTCTAGTTGGGCGACTTACTCTCTGTCAGCTTGACATTATGGAAGCCGTATTGCGTTCTCTGAGAGGCTAGATTGAGACCCATCATATCTGGTATACCCAAAGATCCAACAGTGTCCCAAACACCGACAACTTTCACCTTTCTGCTGTCTTCACTGACGGCGAGTTCTCCATGCGGTCGAATTTCCCACACCTCTGCCAGTAGCTTGAGATCGTCCAGGCCAATTGCTTTAACATCCACGCCCTGCTTCTTCATCTCTTCTCCCTTCTTGCTCAGCTTGCCTTCAGTGAACCACCTCCACGCTTGTGTTTCGCGAAAGTCAACACCTTCGTCATTTGTCTGATACAGGCTGTATAGTGTCGCGAAGAACTGCATGCTAATGGGTGCTATGACTCCAATGTCGGAGACAAGTCCTGCAACTGCACGCGCAGTGTAGGCACCTCTTGAGAAGCCAAAGCAGAAGATTTCATCACCCGGCTCATAGTTTTGCACGATGAAGTTGTATGCTTCAATGACGTTTTCTGCCAACCCGGCTCCTGTACCGCCTTGTCGGTTCCTTTCAGAAGAGCTGAGATTTCCTGTCCCCACCCCAGAATCGTAGTAGACAATCTGGTGAAACTTTTTCGAGGGGTCATGCTGATCCGAGCCAACACGGGCAATCAGGCGGCATAGTTTAGTGACATTGGATGGGACGTTTGTTTCGATAGTGACGCTCGACTGCCAAGTCCCATCGCAACATATGACTAGGCGTCGTCCCCAGGCCTTGCTGTCGTCGTCGGTCATGGCAGTGTGGGTGAAGGGGAGGGAATAAGATGTAGTGATGCTTGAATGGGGGTACTATGTCCAGGGACAGCAAAGTTTATCGCTGTATATGTAGGACGATCCGAAAATCGTACCAAGACTGTAGTGGATGCAAGCGTAGCAAAAGAAGGTTTCGACTGTAACGTTCAGGGGCAACCCCAGACGGTGGGAAAAAGAGAGAAAGGCAATAAGGCAACCAGACTGCGTAATCCTTCCTTTCAGCTGTCTATCCGCTAGAAAGCTCACACCGCGAAGGATCGACAGGAAGCTGAGGGTTAGCCCCCAAATTGCCCAAGAAAACGCCCGATCTTTTATGCTACGGCTGAGAGCTACGGCAGGCTGCCAAGCGACATGTTCCCACAAGCTGCATTAGGCGATGCCATTGCCTGCATTCTTGTGCCTCTCACTCTCTTCAACTGAGAGGTTGAATAAAAGGGCAGCCCAGATTCCTCTGGCTCGAAGCGAAAGGTGGAGGCGGGACATTTCTTTTTCTGGCTTTTGACATGACGAGTTGTGATGAGTTGTGAGGGGTTGAGGGTGTGCCGCTCGACTGTGCCAATGGCGACTGTTGTTTGTTGGTTACAACATGACACTTGCTTCTCAGGTGAAGTATGCCAATGTAAATGAGCATGTCACCTGGTCCTTTCCATGAATGGTAAATGGCTGAGAGAGGATGGGTGTGCTTATTCCCGACGTGGCGTGGGCAGTGCTTTTGTTCAGAGCAAGAGGAAGCGGCACGCGGGCCCACCCGACTCCCGCAGCCCGCATCAACGACGGACCATGGGCATGGCGCAGCTGGCCCTGTCTCTCTGAATAGCTTCAATGTTATGCACACAGCCACTGCTCAGCTCAGTTGACTATAATATCACCACACCATGTTAGCGTCACTATACTATATGACATTTTCCAAGTTGTTTGTGCTTATTTTTCTTTTGTAGTGACACTGCAACTCACTACTGGGCTGAAACTGCTTGTGCTGCTCTCAAAAAGAGACAGAATACCGATGCTTCATTCTCTAAGGCCAATGGATGTAACCAAAGGCGCGGCCTGCGCTAACATGAAACATGAGATCATAACTATTTCTGCAAAAAAAGCAAGCAGATGGAGCCGACCACACATGTGTCGGACATTGTGTGTCGCGATATGGCGCCATTTTCGCGCAATATGTGAAAGCTCTTGTGGTATATCTGCGCGCACCACCAGTACATAACGCCTGCCATCCAACAGTAAAGATGTCGCTGAATCGCTGAGAATCGTAACCACCAAAATCTAGTGCATACCACCCAATAACCAAAACCTTTTCAATATCGTAACCACCAATCCTATAAAGAGCCTGCTCATTGAGAGCGAGGCGAGTTGCCAGCCGTATGCGGACGACTACCATATTGCGAGCCATCGTGGAACCCGTCAAAGCTTTCGCCAGATGACGTTCTTTGGAGGTCATCACCGTCGGCCATATCAATGTCTTCCTGCTCATACCTTCCCGACCCATTGGAACTCTGTGGCGGCCCCATGTTCGAGAAGGATGAGTATTGTCGTGGAGGTGCTGCAGGGGGCACTCCAGCATTGCTAATCTGCTCAGCCAGACTTGGTTTTTCCGCTAGGTTGCTTAACATCGCACGGCTAGCGTCCAGCATGGAGACTGCGTAATCGAGAAAGTCGGCGCGCTTGGAAGAGACAGACAGGGTCCAGCGATATTCGCACAACCTCAGCTTGTAGAACTCGGCCTCTTCTTTGGCGGGCGCCGTAGCCCACAATAACGACCCAAACGTTCCGATGAGTGTAAAGTTGACCTTGGAAGCAAAATACCAGAAGGCCTGCAGATGTTCTGGCTTGAGGCGGTTGACAAAGTCCATGGCAGAGATCAATCGCGTCTTCGCAGCACTGCGGCACATGAAAAGACCGTAAGAGTCTGGGTTGGTCGAGTCAAGAGACTGCACAATGCGTCGATGCAGAGTGATTTCTGTCGCAAAGTATGCGAGGTGCAGATAGCCAGTCGACGTGAGCTTGCCCTTCTCCGGCGTGTTCATCTTAACTTCAGCAGGCAACTTCTCGTGCCACTGGCGGAGCTTTATTTGCACAGGCTTGGCGCGGGCCAGAATGAGTTCAGTGGACTTCTTTCCTGCATTTGCAAAATCTTGGATGGCAGTTTGGGTGTAAAATGTATCCATGACTTCTGCCATGATTTGGGTAAGTCCGATCATCTGGGCAAACAGTATCCGTCCTCGCTGGCTGTCTGTTTTTTCGTCTTCGGTCTCTTCTTGCCGTGTCTCATATCCGTCTCCTTCTTCAATAAAATCTTCTTCAGTAATGGGCTTGACTGCCCAGTTAGCATTGAAGATATGTGAGGGGCGACCGTGGATCAACGAGCTCCATTTGTCCTGCATGTACAACGCACATGCGATGCGCTTCCTCAATCCACGCTCCCAGAGAGGAACCGACCATGAGGAGCAGTCAAGATGGAGGCCTAGTTCTTGGCCAACGGCGACCAGTTGCGTAGTCAGACTCCATGAATCTGCTTCTGGACGCTGGAGCAACAACAAACCTGCCTGCACAGTTGACAGTTTAGGACGCTCCATTGACAATGTCAATGCCTTCATTGCAACTGCTTCCAATCGAGCTGCATCGGGTTTGGAATAGCTTGCGAGCTTGGGGTTGAAGGACCACCAATTTAGGGCCAGAATGTACATTCCAGCTAGAAGGGCTGGTGAGAAGCCCCGGTCGCCACTACGATAGCGCTCGACGAAAAGGTGCTTTTGGATAATGGGGTAGTTTGGATGTACTACTTGAAAGTACAAGTCTAGCAGGGCAGGGCCATGTGGGTGCACAAGCTGCTCGACCTGAGTCAGTGCCTCGGACTCGCCGGCAAAATCTTGCGTGTTCTCGTCAGGCAGCATGATGAAGCATTCATGATCGTTTACTCGTCGAAGGGTGCCGAGATCAAAAGTAGATTCGTTACGGGTATCGAATTGAGAGAGGCCAATGAGTAGGGAGTCGAAAGGGGAGCTCAGACCAATGTATCTGCTGTGCTGGCGCCGTTGCAGGCCCAGCGTCTCTCCAAGCTGAGGTAGGTGCAGACTTTGCACGTGGGACAGCTGTGTTGGTGGTGGTTGTGGTGGTTGTGATTGTGATGGTGGGCTTGGCGCTGTTGCTGTGATGGTGGGGGTCGACAGTGCCAATGGAGGAGGTTCCGAGTCGACGGATCTAGCAGACGGTATCAGTCATGCCGTTTAGCCGCACAAAGCACAAGTCGAAAACGAAGATTTAAAAAGGCAATGGATACAAACCACATGACGGGTGGGGAGGGAAGGCAGGTAGAGTGCATGGCACGTGAGCACGTGACAGTTTGGCGTGGTACATGTACGTAGTGGTTGCTCGTCGGCCAAGCGAGCCATCGGACATTTTCTCGAACGCGGGGCAGTGGAGGAGCCTAGACATACCTCTTCTTTGTGTTGCTGGGCGAATCCTTTTTCTCGCCGTCGACGACTTTTCTCTTGCGGGGCAGAGGACTTTGCACAAAGGTACAGTCCTGCTTGTGGAACTCGCACAGGACACACAGGGCGGCGCCCTCGTGTATCACACAGCGACTCTTTCTCCGTCTGCAAGCGTCACACGGGCGTTCTCTCCGCGAGCGGATGTTGGAGACGGGGCCGTTGGTTGAGGTTGGTTTGGTCAGGTTCTCCTTGGTCGAGGGCGACTTGTGTACTGTACGAGGGCGAGCTGGTGCTATGGAGACGACTGGGCGTGGGCCCATGGCCGGCTGCTGCATTGCTACGGCCGTCATGGCTGGGCAGCTGGCGTGGAAGGGGGGCGATAAGGCTATGAGAGACTACGGGCCGTTGGCCAGACTGCGGATCAGGATGCAAGTGTCTTGCTATCGGAGCAGGGTATGTGGCAGGTCTTATCGCGTGGGAGATGGCGAGGTCACTTTGGATATTGGGCTATGCCAAGAACAGCAAATATATTTGGGTAATGCAGCGGAGGGAGGGAGGTAGGGATGGAGGGATGGAAAGGGACAAGACAGCGGGTGCTCAAGGGCCCAGATTGCCGGTAACGGCTGTGAGGAGAATGAGGTGGCTGATGGTTCGCGCCGTCATTGAACGTGTGCCCAACTACTACAGTGTAGGAGATGGAGCGACGTCGGCGGGGCGGGAGCGGCGTGAGAAGCCTGGGCTGGTCCTGGGGCGGAGGGCTAGGACGTGGAGCGAGCAGAGGGGTGGTGCATTGTCGGGGAGGGTAGGGCAGGGCAGATGGGTGAATGTGTATGTATGTGTGTAGTGTATGTATATGTTTCTGCCTTTGAGAGAGCGCCGGCACTGTCTTTTGTGGCAGACATGTGCTCGGGATGGGTTTGGACATGGACCGCGCACGGATGGGCAGGGCAGTAGGACGGATGGGGCTTAGCGCCGTCCCTGCTTTGTGCTATCTTACGTACAGCCGAGAGATAAGGAAAGCACGACGGGCCAATGGCCGACGCACGACCGCTCCCCCACCTGCATCGTTTGATCTTTCCATTACTCCAGCCCAGGAGCTTATCTGCTGCGCTGCACTACTCACGCCCCAGTCTGCCTGTCTAGGCCAGTTACTCTTATGTACTCGTTACCAGACTCCATACTTGGGGCCATTGGCATATGCACGTCACCCACGACTCGACGCACACGACTGCCCATCCCTCACAGCTCACCACGCCTGCCCACGACATCATTGCCCTTTGCTTTGCCTGTCACTCTTGCAACCGACCGTTTTGTCCCGATCCCGCCGACCTGCCACACACACACAGCCCTCCTCCCTCGCCACCTGCAAATCCCAGACGCTGCATGTGTGTACGTAACTACTTAGCACCGACATTGCAAGTACCTGCTTACGTATACGACACACCGTTGCAGTAGCACCAACCAAGTACATGTCACTCTCCCGCTCGCTGACTATACCAGAAATCCTATTCGACTTGCAAATCACCACCACCCTTCTTGCATGGTTTGTGCCATAGTACCTACTCCTATAGGCGCCCTCCGCACGTGTCGCGCGACCGTCTTCTCCACAGTGCCCTACCCATACCTAGAAATACATGCTAGTGGGTCCCTTGATTGCCATGTCTGCTCCGCTCCAACCCTGCCCACGATAGCCTCACCGCTCGCCCTTCAGGCAAAACGTCTTGCTCTCCGACCACCGGCAATGCGCAGCATCCGGAATGCTCCGCCAATCCCATCTACCGTCCACCTCTTCTCCCCGTGATGTCATACCCGCCTCGTCTGTTCCTCCGGAGCCCCATTTCTCGCCCTTGTCGCTCCCGAGCCGCGGTCAATTGCCCTTGCCTGCTGCTGTAAGACGGTCGAGATCTACGCTTGTGTACGTAAAAGCTCCAAGCCTTTTAGCCTTGCACTGCCAGCGACCTCAATCTTGGGTCATGTTCGTGCAAAGCGACCGGTGGGTCCCCCAGCTGCACTCGCTGCGTTGCCCTATCTGGCCTCGCTAAAGGCCGTGTTCCAATTTCTCAACAACGGAACCTTGCCCTTAGTCGTTATCACCCTCCAAAGGCCCGTCACCACCCTGGACCTCTGCTCCGCGCCCTCACACTCCGCGCTCCCTCACTGGCCAACTCCGAGGCTGTCTACTTCCGCCCAACCGCGTCAATTTTCCGACACCTCAGGGTTCCATGGTTACGATTACGAGATCTTTGATCGCGGATCTGCATGTGACAGCCTACGCGAGCAAACTATGCTTAGCCCAATGGCATCGTTTGGCAAGTCGGGCCGCTATTCTCCGCATCCAATCCTCCATTGTTACCTGCCTGCCTGCCTGCTCTGCACCCGTCTTCTTATGCTTCAGTCGTCGCATTTGCCGTCTGTCAAGGATCAACGAGCCATGTTTACTTACTACTTACTTACATCGGCAACCTACACCGACAGCCTGCCTCTTCACGTCATGTTGTACCGTCTGGCGGTGTGAGATTACTCATGCTAGGAGATTCATACATCTGATGTAGAGCCACTTAACATTTATCATTGTCTCGCTGACGACGACACCTTCTGAAACACGGAAACTGTAGCGCGCGCACTGCATTCATTGAGACGTGGCTATAAGGTTATCGCGACAAGGCGAATCGCCAATCCTTACAATCCGGGATATCCTTTGCGTCTCACCCTCCTCTAGTCACATTGATTTTCAGAGCTGGGGTCTGGGGTATTATTTCCCCCGTTTAAGCTTTTAAAGTTTCCAAGGCTTGCCGCGGGATTTGGGGACCCCACGCCAATGCTGACATGGCAATATACTACGCACCAATATCGATGAAAATCAATCAATCTTCTTATAACGCCTACTAGCATTGCCCACTGTACATCGTACAAGACCCATAGTATCTTGGCTTGTCGAAGCGGGTTTCGTGTCCTTTTTTTTTCCTTCTCCAATCTTTTCCTTCTTTGCACTACAACGTAAAAGCGCAAGTTGACTTGGGCTAAACAAACAAACTGGGCAACGAATTGCTCATTTCTACATACTATACGAGCTTGTGAGACTATCCTACATCCGTATGCATTGGTAGATACAACCTGGCTTCATATTAAGCAAAAGAAATCCTTTCCAACCCAGACCTACTTCCTTTTTTTTCCCCGCCATTTCTCCAACACGTATAATATCTTATTTCCCTCAAATCCACTATCCTATTCTAAACATCAAGAAATTTTATACCGACAACTAGTATTCAACGTTGCAGAAGCGCACGTGGGGAATGACTTACCAACTACTACTACTACTACTACTACTACTACTACTACTACTATTACTAAGCTAAAAATTTTAATCGTGTATGAGCGAGCGGTGGGTCTTTTTCTGTCACGTTCGAGGTACCTGTTTTTTTTTCTTCTCTTACTCATGGTGGCAGATAGTTGGTATGGTGCTAGTCTTGAGGATTTAGTTTTTTCATATCCGCGTTTGGCGCCTATTAATATGTTTCTTTCTAAAACGCAATGTTGATGGTAGTACACGATTTCTTGGGTTTGGTGTCGAGTGAGAAAATCCTTTGTACACGCATGGATACTAAGTACTCCGTGGAACAACTTGTTAGTTGCGTATTTTCTGCATCATGTGTAAGATATTTCGTCATCCTTCGCAAGCATCTTGACATCACCACTAAGACAAAAAAAGGAATTGCAGTTCAAAATGGGATCAGTTGTTGATTTCTTTACTACAACAGTCAAATACCCGTGTACTTAATCTCATGGAATCTGCTGATTGCTCATGCCCTCGGCAAAGCTCCTGTGATAATTGTATGTACAAAGTCTGGGCACTCGTCACCCCAATCGCATAATGGAATCCCAAGTACATGCCTCGTATGGGGGGCCATGTAGCGCATCATGTGTTTCGCCATGATCATATCGTCGTTATATCTAGCGTCTCTCGCTCTAAATCGACAAACAAGCAGGAAGGTATCCCAAGGAAAAAATAGGCCATGTCGAGTGCTGTCATAGTCTGCGCAAATGTTGCGCGTGTCGCGTTTGACGTGAAGAAAACCGGAAGCCGCGCCGAGGCATCCTCTTCTTCAGTGCATAGGCGGCTGGTAGTTGATAGGTCGCCTGTATCCAATCAGTCCGAGCTTTGCTGTACGCTCACAAAGAACAAAACCTACTTGAAGAGCAAAATATGCGGCTCTGGCTCATGTACCTCATAGTGTTCCCATCCCAAACTCTGTCTTCATGTCAGCAAGCAGTACGCATATCCAGTCGGGCGCCCGTACCTGAGTGATTCCCAGTGCCCTCCACTCCTCTTCCCACAGCAACTTCAGTGTGCCTCGTGCGCCATCAAAGTAGTCCTTGGGAATCGCCTTCAGCATCTGCTTGGGCAGCTGTACATGGCGATATTCGTAGACGTCGTCCGAGTACCTATCGCCAGCATCAGTACATCCCGCGCTGACCGCTCCTTGAACAAACAACCGACCTTGCCGAGTAGTGGATCGCGTCGACAAACTCATCCAGCTTCTCCTTCTCATGCTCAGAAAGCGGGCGCGGTTTCTTGTTCCGGCGCGTGAAGTCGATATCCAGATCGCCCGACATGTTTGCAGCTGGGTGACGCGAATAGAGGCGCTCGTGTGCTCGTGCGGTGGGGTGTTCGCGGCTGAGGGAAGCGAGTGGGGCAGACGGCGGCGCGGTTTTGGTACGCAGCTGCGATTACGTATGCGGAAATGGGCGCGTTGATAGAGAGTTCTGGCCCTTGGATGCAGAGAGAGAGTCACCGTATCAGTGAACTAGAGGAGAAATAGCTCAAGGCATCAAGCCCAAACAGTCGTTGTTTACGAGAGTCATGAAATTTAGTCGCTGCGTCGGCCCGAGCTTCGGCTCTAACCCCAAACCGGCCAAGGGTATCCGCTCCTCCATGTTCCTACCGCAACGTCTTTCACCCCTGTATCTGCATCTCTGCTGATCAGCGTTCGTTGCTCATGTCTGTGAGGCTTACGCCTTAGCCGGTGGAACAGGCGCAAGAATAATGACCACGTGAGCTTCTCCGTGCATCTGCACATTGACCATGTTTGACAAATACTGAATTTCTCTGCTCAACAATACGCTACATAAATCATTCGGCCACATAGAATTTGACCGTCCTCGATAGCATGATATCAGCTGTTGCAAGCACACTGGCTGAGCAACCAATACATAACCGCGTGCTGATAGAATGCTGACACGGAACCCTCCGAGGACTAGCGACACTGAAAACATTCGGACACTTGGCGAAGATAATGGAAGCTCGAAGTCAGTGGTTGAACCAGCGATGCGGTTGCCGTCCATATGTTCAGATCAAACAGCCACATCGAGTGCCTTCTCCGGCGGGTACTTTGTACATGCTGTCCCGTCACCTTTTGTATTTTCAGCTACCCCGGGCACTCTGTCACGGCCATCCATGTTTTCGTCTGTACATTCCCATCTCAGGTGTTTCTTTGGTTTCATGACCTCAACCTGTCGCATCTCGGGCTTCTTTTCTCCAAGGTCCCCATCAACCACATCAAACCCCTTATCAGTAACACCCTGTTCCAACCACTCACTTGCTCTGTCATCACTAGAACTAGTCTTGATCTCGGGAAGAAGTTCGATAGATGGCGGCCGTGACACTGACGAGTAGTGTTGCAACAGATCCTCTCGCTGCTCTTGCTGTGTTTGCTGTCGGGAAAGTCGATGTGATAGACGAGACTCGCGACCGCTTTCGGGGTCGAGAAGCCCCGGCTCGAAGTCTTGTCGAGGATTTACTTTTCTCTTGTCCCGATTGACGAATCGAATGAGCAGGTAAATCATGATCACGATCAATATCGCCGACGTTAAGACAACCAGGCCGAGGAAGAGATTGGCTGTGATGCTCGAGACAATCATGTCGCAACTTGACGCTGTCAGTTGCCGTCTGAATATGCAAAAGGACGAGTCCAGAGGTGTTGCTGGTTTTGTGGCCCCTGCAGTAGCAAGTCTACTGCGTATTTAAGCCTGACATGAGCGACATGCGCTACGTCACTGCATCTCAATCAGGCGCAAAGCACAAGAAAATATGTGCGAGTCCATACATGAGCCTTACTGTACGAGGATCTGACCAAAACGTTGAGTTGTATCCTAACGTTGTGCAGAGTCGCACGACCATGGACAATACATGCTGTGCGACAATTGTGGACTCGAGGGACATGACTACCAGATTGGAGATCCAAACACAGTCACAGCGGAGAAAAAAGAAAACTTTAGTATTCAATGGATAGGCTCAATTAAGACCAGTTGATTCCTGGTCCATACTCTATGCGATCTATTCCTCCAAGGGACCAAGGTAGTCGTAAACCAATCTCACCCTCACATCCGCACCCGTGTCAGTGTTCCTAACAGCAAACTTCTTTACCAGCTTCCTCTTTCCGCCAGATTCAGCGAAGCCCCAAACGTTCCATAAAATCCACTTGTTGGCCGCACTGGACGTAAAGCTTTCTATGACATCCCCTTCTTGGCTTTCATTCAACCACCCCTCAATCAGGTACTTGATATCTTCATCCGTCGCACCTGTTTCCTTGGACTCTTCCTGGAATTTCTGGAGGGTAGAGTAGCGGGAACGGCCTTTGATGACGCCGAAGATCAAGTCGCTGTGCTCGCGGTAGGCCCAGTCCAGGGTTCGGTTTTCTGGCGATCCCTTGAGGCCACCAGTGAGGAACTGGTCCACTTTAATGTGCGTGGTAGGCACACCGTCTGAACCATCGACGGTGCTTTGGTACAAGTATTGAGTCAGGGTTGCTGCCCCAATGGCCTTTCGTGTGAGCCAGCCGATGCCCTGGAGGGAGAGAACTGGATCGAAGGCATCGGACTCGGACTTGTTCTGCGAGATCACGTTAGAGGATCTGTTGAAGCATTGCTTATTTGGTAACCATGGAATTCGCTTTAGTCTTACCATAGTCCATCGTCCAACGAGGTTCTTGATATTAATGTTCGCGGGAGACGCCATATTTGCTGGTACAATGTTTTGCTGACTTTACAGGCTCTTCAAAAGTGCGAAAGGTTGATGTTTTATGTTTAACTCTGTTAAGTTATCGACGCAAGAAGCTGCATGTCATTTGAGGGGTAGCCGTCGTCGGTATCCTTACCGTATACTGCCACAACCCCGCTTAAACACCACAATTCCCGAGGACAGCCATTTAGGCGTGCATCTCCATTACTCCGCAAAGGTACGCTGTCACATTCATCCCAAAAGCATGTGTAAGCCTTGTCGTACTGCCTACCGAGGTTTACCCCCTTCGGCGTTATCCCCTTCAGGATAGTACCCCTCGTGAAACACTAAAATTGCCAGTCTCATACCAATCACACCGGAAATATGTAAGCAGGTACATGAACAAAGCCATTTTCAAAGCACCCCGATGGCTCAGCGGACGATAGAAGATGGGCGGAAAAACAAAGCGACGATGGCTTGGGAATGAGTGCGTCGGAAAGCGGTGAAGCAAGGCATACAGTCTCAACGCAGAATGCGATGAATCCGAGAACCCAGGCCCATTTTACGGAGGCCTTCTCCGCCATTCCGAAACTGAAGTCCTTCCGGCCATTCAAAAACTTATTGTCGCACTCCCGTCTGTGACGAAGCGGAATACCTCGGTCTGGCTCTAGTCGTACACACATTCGGACAAACGAGCGCCTTCACAAGGACGCAGACAATAAACTAAAGACTATCCTACGATGATCCAATTATAGAAAAGACACACAGTGGCATCCCAACTGGTTTCAAAAATTGTCGTTTTTGGGTGCCTGTTCATCCATCACCATGACCATTGAATCTCAAACAGAAGACTGGGAAACCTTTCTCCTCATCATGATGGCGCTACTGCTTTCAGGGTCTATGTAATTTCCCTCAAAAAGCGCATATCTTCTCAGGCACAAAGTGTTTGGATTGGCCAGAATATCCCGAAACCTCCGTCCTGTTTCAACGGCCGCAGGTTTGGTGTGCCGTAGCGCAAACCCGTTGCGCCAACCATGACTTGCCGCGTCGTGAACGCGGGGAGAAGAATATGAGCACGGCACGTTTCCCTCGTTCAACGCTAAGGCTGCGACGCGGAATGTTTATGATATCTATATGCTGTGCCATGGTTCTACGGCCGAAAGAGATACATAATATCTGTAGCATCCGCACATGGGAGTGTTTTGGTTGTGGTTTTCGCTTTACTTTACCCTTGACTCCCTGCAATCCTTCGCTTTTACATTCATGCGCAAACACCTGTCAGAATAAGCGCCGACTGATTTTTTAGCACCAAGTGTCTTTGGTTGCACACTCAAGCATCCAGATTGCAGAATTTGTCACGCAAAGTCTCATCACTCTTTACTCATTGGCGGCGCGCACAAACTTATACCACACCATTACTGCGTACGATCATCTCACAGCGTTACACATACCGGGAACGTGTACTTGTGCATATTCCAATCACCACTTCACAAATCCTCGACGTTGTACCTCCTCCAGGCAGGTTCACAATTCACGACTCCTGTTTTTGCGCGACTGGAAATTGGATCTGAGGTACGGTGTGCAGGACACACAATAATTGGTGCGGATATTCTCTCGGTCCATCCGCAGCCTTCATCTCACGATACTATCCACGAACCAGACGAATTTTTCTTCGAGCAGAGATCCTAGGGCGATCAAAAGCATCTGCACAGACCCATCAAGTCGGCCAGCCTCTTGTTCACTTCATCCTTTTGGTCGTGCTGGCCGTTTGCTTGCTTATTAAAACCCCCCGGTTCACCCACCACATCTCACCAACGACACTTCAGTAGCTGTTCTGTAATATCCGGTCCTTTGCACCAAACCGCTCATTAGGTTCACCTCTCGATTTACCACATAACTCTGCAGGCAGCGCAGCCCATCTCACTCTTTCCACGATACCCAACATCTACATACACCAAATAAACAAACACCGACAAGCACTAGGCAAAATGAGACTCACAACACTCTTCTTCGTCGGCACCACAGCCATGGCATCTCGAATACACTTACCCGAGGACAACAACGACGCCAACATGCTTCTGGACCGTGCCATAGACCCTGCCGACATGAACCCCACACAGCTCTCCATACTGTCAGTGCTCAAGACCGCCATACCATCCGGCACCAGCATTCCCATGCCGACGGGTACTTCTGAACCAGATTGGTACAAGAATCTGCCTGATGACGTCAAGAGCCTGTTGCCTCAGTTTTACCCTGCAACTACTACTTCGTCTGTGGAGAGTACGAGTAGTAGCATTAGTACTAGCAGTGAGGTTGCCAGTCAAGCGTCTTCGACACCGACGCCGACGCCGACGCCAACTTCGACCCCGGTTTTGACAAGCAGTCTGGCGAGCGAGACGTCGTCTGCGGTTGTGTCTGCGGCTGCGGTTACATCTGCCTCTGTGCAGGTTTCATCGGTAAGTACAAAATATATACTTCTTTCAAGTCTACTACTATCCACTACTATCCTCCTCCCCTTTTTGCTACGGTTCTTTGGCAACGAACTAACGCACTACAGTCCTCTCCCCCACCCACCTCGACAGCAACAACACCCCTTTTCTCCCCCACCGTCTCAGCTTTCCCTTCTCCCTCTTCCAACAGCAGCACCTCAGTCAGTGCGCCATCTGCCTCGCCAACCCCGTCTGCGCTCTTCTCCGCTGGCCTAAGAAATACCGTGCATACGGGTCTTCTGGCTGCTGTGGCGTACGTCAGTGTTGCGCTGGGATTCTGTGTATTTGCTTAGAGGGTTGAAGTCAGCGACAGACGTCGTTATGGCGTGTTGACACGCGTGTGGTAGGCGAAGTTAATATAGCATAATGTCTTTTCTCTTCTTCTTCTTGTTTCTTCTTCCTTTTTTTAGTACTTGCAGCAAGTGTATGGAGAAAGTGTGTCAGGGGAAGCCTTGGAGGTTGGCCCGTGATGCTATGAATGAAATGAGAAGTCCGTTCACAAAGAGGAGGTGGGGAGCGAGGGAGCGAAGGATCAGTTTCTTTTCTTTTCAAAGCGTGTGTATATTGAAATACCCCAGCGGAGATATCCATCTGCATCATGATTACCATGAATCAAGTTTTTTTTCTTCATTTCCACACTTTATGCTTTCCATATAGTCATCATATTGCCTCTCACAAACATAACACCCCCGCGACCCTGACGCCTAAATCCAGCACAGCCAGATGCTCATCACTTCCATCCACAAGTCTTTTATCCGTCTCACTAAACATTGCCGCAAGCCGCACCTTCTTCACATCCTCCACTCTCTCATCAAACATAATCTGCTCGTACAACTGCCCTACCGTCTGCGCTGCGCTCCACCCCTCCGCCACCATGTTCTCGACGACCTTGGCAATCTCATTATACCGTATCGTTTTTTGTGCTGAAGACTTGGGGAAGAGGGCAGATGTGAAAGTAGAGAGGGTCTCAGGGGGTAAGACGCCTGCGATTTCGGCGATGGTAGGGAGTGATACAGACGGTGTCGCTGTGCTGCCAGAATCGATGTCCATCTCGTCATCCTCCGGGACCGCCGTACGTTTCTTTCCCTTTTTGCCGCCGCCGCCTTGAGATTGTATAGCGCCGACAAGCCGCGCAGCAGACTGTAAGAATGTGATTGCCTTTCGTAAATCACCGTCCGCTACACGCACCAATTCCTCTGCTACACCGTCGTCCAGCCGCACATTCTCGAGCGCAGCAATGTCGCTGACGCGCTTGACGGCATTGCCCTGGTCGAGACTCTTGAAGCGGAATTTGGAGCAGCGGGAGGCGAGGGGGTCGATGATGCGGGTGACGTAGTTGCAGACAAGGCAGAAGCGCGTCATGCGGCTGTATGTTTCCATTGTGCGGCGGAGCGCGGATTGCGCATCTTGCGTCATGCTGTCTGCCTCGTCGAGGACGATGATTTTGAAGGGTGGGCATGGGTACTTGTCTCGGTATCGTACCATGCCTCCTTCTCCTGTCCCGCTCTTGTCTTCTACCATGACGTTGTATGTTGGTGCTACGCTAAGTTGTTGGCGGGCAAAGTCTTTGACTTTTTGTCGTACAATGCTGATACCGCGCTCGTCAGATGCGTTTAGTTCCAGCACACGCGACTTCATGAGTTCGGGCCCGTAGAGTTCTTTGGCAAGGGCGAGGATAGTCGAGGTTTTTCCTGTTCCTGGGGGGCCGTAGAATAGCATGTGGGGTAGGTTGGAGGACTGCATTGTGCGGGAGAGGACTTGGATAGTGTTGTCCTGGGCTGTGACTTCGGACAGCGTCTTGGGTCGGCTGCAATGGTTGTTAGCCTTGAGTCCCAGTTGGTTGATACGTGGGGGTGTGTACTATTTCTCTACCCATGGTTGCAAGCGATTTGGCTCTTGCTTTGTTGTAGGGGCTTTTGAAGAACTCGCCTGCGCAGCGGCCTGTTGCCGGGCCTTAATGTTGAAGAAGTCGGCCATTGTGACTTGTGGTGGCTGCGTTGAAGTTGAGCGAAGTTGGAAAGCTAAAGTGCGACGCGTCGACGCGAACTCGCGAAAGCACGTTATTGCCAACCGTGCGGCGGCTCACCAATCACGTCACCATCACTGCATATAGAATATCATGTCGTTTGTAAGATCAGAACATTTCTTGAATTATTGGATCTAAAGCTGAACATTCCAGCTCGCTGCTTATCTCATGCATGCCACGCTCATCTTGGCGTCATCCATTCGTTCATCAAATCCATATGCCATCGTAACTGGCGCTCTGCTGCGCTGCCCATCATCGGTCGAAATTCGTACCTATGGTGTTAAGGGTCACGCCTCAGGAGTCAGACTAGAAATATCTAATCTACTTCCCATTCAGCCTAACCCCCTTGACCCGCTTAGCCAATTGTACTGAATCGGAATCTGAGCCATAGGAGGGCTGTCGCATTGTACGCTGGTGCTCCAGGGGAAGAGGTGCTGCAGCCCCCCTCCTGGCTGGTTGAGAGGGAGAGGGAGACTGATAAGAACGTTTCGGGGGGCGCTCAC